ACACACACACACACACACACACACACACACACACACACACACACACGCACTGAGTGCATCACCCACTCATTTCGTTCTCATAATGATAACTTTCCCATTAATCACTGTGGTAATGCCACAGCAGCAGAGGCTCTTCAGTCTCTGCTCCCTTCTCTATTTCTGTTTTTTCTTCCTGGTCTAATGATCCCTTCTTTCATTTGAATATAACACTGACGGGTTTGCTCCTTTCATATTGCACTTAAGATAAGTGCTGTCCGACTCATTGTTCAGCATTAGTGCCACATTATTGTACATCACTGTGCCTCACTGTAGCTGAAAATCGACTTCATTAGCAAGTTAGTTTCATGTATCGAATATATATATACAGTACAAACCTATCAATTATCAGAATAGTTGCAGACTCATTTCCTGTCAATCAATTCATTTGCAAATAGTTTCAGCTAATTTTTTACAAAAACTTGTCTCTTCTTCAAATATTCGTAAACTACTTTTACAGATGCAGTTATGTTACATTTTCTATCACTGACACAAAGAAACGTATGTCAGAAGAAATTTTAATTTTTTAAGAAAAATAGTTTCCAGTAAATGGTGATATCTGTATTATTTTCTTTCTATATTCTCTTTGTTGTTGTTTTGCGTCTCTTTGTAGTAATTTTGTACGTTGTCGTTGTAATTTTGCGGTTGTTTTCCATAACTTCAGGTTATCTTTTTGTGTTTTTTTGCCTCTTTGAATCTTGTTATGGTCTTTTAGCATTTTTCTATGATCTCTTCATAGTTGTTTTGCATCTCCCTGTGGTTGTTTTGCATCTCTTTGTGGTGGTTTTGTGTCTCTTTCTGTGAAATCTTGCAGGTGAAGCCTGGGGGGGGCCCTAACACTATGGGCCTCTGTGCTCATGGGCCCGTTCAGTAATTCATCCATGGGTGACAAAGAGAGAAACAATAGTTGGACAGAGAGAAGAAAAGAGAATCCGAGGAAAATAGACAGTCCATTTATAGAAACTGAAAAGGTGGCAACTACGAGCATGAGAGTGTGGAAAATGTTTGATTGGCCCTATGCTGTTACCACGGTGACTAATGGGGTACCAAAGTTCTCATCATTGTGTAGCATGACGAGCGTGGGTGACGCTGTGAGTGTGTGAAGAGATAAAGATAAGAGTGTGTGTTTAAAGGACAGAGTATTTGTGCAGACAGAGAGGGAAACTGCGTGTTGGTGAGTGAGTGTGACATGAAGAAATTAAGTGTGTGTGCGTATTGACAGGTATACTGTGTGTGTGTGTGTGTGTGTGTGTGTGTGTGTGTGTGTGTGTGTGTGCTTACTTTAGTCGAGGATATAAGAGAGAGATCAGGAGGGATTAATGCAGCTTCCAATTATTATTGTTGTATTTTTTTCTACCACTTTTCCTCTCCCCCTTTTCTCCCTCCATTCTCCTCCTCCCATAGATGAGCAAATTGCATCTGTCCTTTACTCTCCCTCTCTTTCCTCTAAGCTCTCGGTGACAAGGGGATTTTCTTTTGCCTTTTTATTAACATTGCTGTTATTTGTCACACAAGAGAGAGGGCAAGACAGACGGACGGAGGGAGGGATGGAGAGAGGATTTGATAAAGGGCAGAAAGACGGACAGAGAAAAGAGGAATGGAAAAGGTTTTGACACAGAGAGATTTGACTAACAGGAGTGAGGTAGAGTGAGGGATTTTGTGTAAAAACAAACAAGGATTATGGGAGAGGAGAGCAGCGGGAGGCGAGGAGGAGGAAAACAGGAGAGCAAATGAAATCAGGGAGAAATGGGTGAGGACGAGCGGAAAGAAAGGGGAAGGGAAGCAAGACAAACGTGCATCATCCATGTAAAAACAAGCCCGGGGGATGAGTGGGATGTGATGTGATGATGAACTCTTCAACATCACAGACTCGCATATGATTGCATTTGCCTCATGTTGGCCGGCCTTTGTCACAGATGTAACTTAAGTCCTGTTCAGTTTGGTCACTGCCAGCCTTGTACGCCTGTGTCCTAGTAAAGCCTGCTGATGGACGGGGTGTGTTGTTTTGGTTAACTCACTTTTCAACGGCCTTGATTTGACAGTTTAATAACTACAGTGCTTTCAATTGTGCTCTTCCTTAACATGCATCTCCAGAGACAATTAAAGGAACCCTGTGGAGTTTGTGACCGCTAGTAGTGCTACGGAGCAATGCTTTTATGAGCGGTCCGGCAGTGCGCCAACAAAGGCAGGGGAGAGGAAGAATTCCAGAAATACAGACAATGCATTTCAGTCAAAACACACAGTTGCTTTGTATATTTTTTCATGTCATGCTAGTTGACTAGCGACAAACATGTTTCCTCACACTCACACACACATGTATATATATTGTTAGATCCGGGGGTTCTCTGGCCCGATACGGGGCTACCTACTGACTCAGCTCTCTATTAAAAGATTGGCGAGCTGGTGTTCTGTGAGGAAACTCGCCTGGCTCTGCTAACTACCGTTACTCCTGACGTCTACCCTGCTTCCTCTGGTAACGTGCACTCGGCTGAGGGGCCACCCTGGCCGGGCGTCAGTCGCGTCAGTTATGGCAGCTTTCCTCTTCTGGATCTTGGTAAATTGCCAGGTTAGATTTTAACGGCTAGGATTACAACTAAAACCGTAAGGGACTGTTAAGTGGACTGGTCACTAGGATAACCATTAAGAACTCTTGTTGTTAAACATACAATAGATTTAACCTTTTACTGCCACGAGGAACTTTTACTACTTCAGCAAATGAATTCTCTTGAGAAATTTACTTTAAATGCAGATTAGATATTTATTGCAGGATATATTAGCAGGAGCACAGCTACAGCTCACATAAAATAATACTATACTTGATTCTGTCAGTTTACAATTTCTTCTTAGATTATACTCATTAGTTTTCGATGCCGAGGCGGCACGGTGGAGCTGGATTCACGATGTAATAAAAAGTCCTTTTGGGGTTTTTAGGAGCGAAGGCCAGGCCTGACCTTCGGCTCCTCCTGCGCGGCCAACGAAGTCCGTTCAGCGATCCCTCAGGCTCAGTACAAAGTCTTTAGGGCGGCTGCGTCCATCTGTTGTCCGGTTGTTAAAGTCAAACAGGGGGGAGAGGAAAATCTCCGTCTTTCAATCTTTGTCCAGGAACGGCTGTCTTCTTTCCGTGAACAGAGACAAAGTCCTCCGATGCGGCTGTCGAGGTCCAGTGTTTCCTCCGTGGAGCACTTGGGTGGCTCCCGCGTTGAATCCCCTCTTGCTCTTTGCAAGTCTCTCTTTTTATAACACTTTGAGCTCTCTCTCACCCCTCCTCCCCAACACTCCCTCACTCGGCATGTGATTTACATGACATCATTGATTATGTGTGTGTGCTGCGAACAACACCCTAACTTTCTGTGTGTGTGTGTGTGTGTGTGTGTGTGTGCTGGACACACCTAACTTCCCTCTGTGGATGCTCTCACTTCCTCAATGTTCGAGTGCGTTTCAGGTTACACCCGTGTATGTGTTCGGACAACAGCCCAACATCTGTTATGATCTCAGCCTTTAAGGCCCCCACCCTGCTTACATCAGCTCTTTCCACCCACACACAGACTTCACTATATCAGTTACACATACATTATTATTATCAGTTTTACATTTGTTAAATCATTTCATTATTCTTATGTTATACATACTTGCTTTAAAATGATTATTAGATTTCATCTTTTACTAATTATATGCTTTGTGTCCTTTTAACCTTCTTTCATATCGAACTGTATTCCTTCTTTTAAGGCAGCTTTCCTGGGATCTCAACCCTCTTGTTTGACACCCCCTTCTTGAGGTCTCAGGCTGCCTTGCAGTGCTAGTCGTCTCCCTGCAGGGAGTCGTCGTCGCCCGGGGCAGTGATGATAAGCACGTCGGCATCTGGTGAGGATGGTCCCGATCCCCGCTCCCAGCTGTCGATCGCCAGTAGCCCTTCCAACCCGGGTGGCTGTAATCCCAGGAGGCCGTCCTCATCATCTGCCTTCTTCAGCTGCTCGTCCATGTCCCGCGTCAGGGCCAACACGTTTTTGTCCAGGATGGTGTTTGGAGAGAGGGAACCCAGGGTAGGGACAGGGCTGCAGAAGGTCTCTTCTTCAGACTCACGATATCCCGCCAGCCCTTCAGGGATAACTTCCACCAGCTCCCCCCATTCTTCATCGCACCCCCACATTCCCATCAGGTTTGGTATTATTCCTGCGGTCTCCGTCTGTACACCCACGTCACGGTATTCCACATCTTCCTCGCTTGCAGCGTCGTTGATGACCTCGGGAGGTGGAGATGGTGATCGATA